TCAACACCGTTCCCTCCAAATTTTACTCGAGTCGGCTTTGATTTTTCTTTGTTTTGTGGTAAAACAAATTAAAACTCGAGCAGCAGAGGCCAGTGGTGGGGATTTGGGGCTGGTTATGTCTGTCAGACCCCCTCATTCCATATGGAATGAGCGTAGGGAGGAGGACGGGGCTGGGATTATTGATAAGGTTGGATATTAGGAATTTTTTTTCATGGAAAGGGTTGTTGGAACAGGCTGCCCAGGGCAGGGGTGGAGTCAGCATCCCTGGAAGTGTTCAAAAAACATGGATGTGGCACTTGGAGACACGGTTTGGTGGTGAACACGGTGGTGGTGCTGGGCTGATCTTAAAGGTCTTTTCCAACTGTAATGATCCCTTGATTCTGTGATAAATTCCCACATCTGCTCCAGGGTTTTCACCTGTGCATCTCACACTGACAGGGATTGTCGCCCTTGCTCCGTGTGGGGGGGTGTGAAACAACCAGGATTTGATTGTGAGGCTTCCCTGGGCCTTTCCCCAGCTCCCTAAAATCCTGGGATTAGTTGTTCAGGCTCCATTTCCAGAGGAGCTGGTGCTGTTTGGGATTTTCTCCCCTCCCGTGGCACCGAGGTTGGTCCTTGTCCCTGCCAGGAGGGTTCACACTCCTCAGCCAGAGGCTTTGGAAAACATCTTTGATCCCCGTGAGGGTTGTTCTTGGAGGGCTTGGATGTGCCTGTGGATGGCAGGAGCTCTGCAGGCGCCTTTGTGCCAGGCTTTGCACCAGCAGCATTTGGAAATAACATGCATGGGATGGTTGGGAAGGCACTGGGCCGACATGTGAAGTGATGAAGCCACAGGAATAACTTGGCACTGGCACGAGCCCGTATCTCCCTGTCACCCTGGGATCATATTTCTGTCCACACAGGGAGAAAAAACCTGGGCAGGGCATCAGCATGGGCAAGAAACCTGCTGTCTGTGAATCCCAGGGGATTTCGGAGCTGCTGGAATTTAGGTGGAGTCATCCCTTCAGGAGCTGGAGGCAGCTTTGCCTCAACCCACAGCAGTCCAAGGAAAGGAGCATCTTGCCCTGCTTGAGCTGAGCTAATCCTGCATGAAAATTAAACCAAGTGGCTTGGCTGGCCTGGGGAGAGCTTGGTGGGCATAGGAGAAGCTTGGCTGGCACAGGGAGAGCTTGGTGGGCATGGGAGAAGCTTGGCTGGCACAGGGAGAGCTTGGTGGCACTTAGGTGGTGTCCAGAGGAGCCACAACTGACCCAATCCTTCCTGCTGGCACTGGAGGTGAAGGATCACCACGCTGACACAGTGGGGAATGGGTTTAAACTAGGAAAGGAGAGATTTAAATTAGATATTGGGAGGAAATCCTTCACTGTGAGGGCAGTGAGGAGCTGGGATGGAATTCCCAGAGAACCTATGGCTGCCCCATCCTTGGAAGTGCCCAAGGTCAGGTTGGAGCTACCTGGTCTAGTGGAAGGTGTCTCTGCCTGTGGCAGGGGGTGGAACAAGATGATTTCAAGTCCCTTCCAACCCAAACCATTCCATGATTCGATGATTCCCAGGAACTCAGGACTCTCCGAGCCGGGCACGGCTGCGGATCCAGGGAGCTGAGCCCCCCCTTCCCTCTGAAATGCAGCGTATAATCTATGCATTAAAATTCCTTGTGAGACAGTAGTTGCTGTGCCTACACAGTCACAGCCTCTTCAGATGCAGCCCTGTAGATATTTTACAAAGTGCTGCTGGAGCACAGTGTCCTTCCATCACGGGGCTGCCAAATCGCTCCAAGTTGATGCCGGGAATGAGAAAGGGGAACAAAAAAAAAAATAAATCAAAATCGAGCCTTTTTTTCCTCTTTAAAAGCCAGATTTGACTTCAAAGTGAATGGAAACTGCGTGGCTGATCATCTCCCTGCGTCCTCGCTCGCTGCTTCCCCCGAGCCAAAGGGTTTGCTCTTCCCTGCGGGTGGAAGTGGCTGTGTGTGGATTCTCTGGTGTCTCGTGGCTCTCTTAATGCAGGAGCACCGTGGATGTGCCAGGGAGAGGCTGGACCACTGGGAAAACATCACCAAAAGCTGGGTTTAGGTGCCAGCAGAAGGCTCAATGTTTTTGGGATGTCTCTACAAGTGTTTTCCGAGTGCTGGTGGACGTGCAGGAGGTGACGGCCACATCCAGGACGTGCTGGGTGGTGACCACCTTGCTGCACAGCAGAGAAGGGAGGATTTCCCAGCCTCAGGCCATCTCCTCTGCCGTTCCCATGCCTGGATTCTTACTGTGGAGGAGCAGCTCAGCTCTCCCCCGTGGCCCTCATTTTCTGCTCTTGCCCTGCTTTTGGTCCGAGGGTTTGTGTCCTCACCAAACCTCCCCCGTCAGGGATAGAATGTAAAATAAAGCCAAGAGAGCCCCTGGCCTGGTGGGATCCATCCTTTCCATCGTTAATAATTAGGAGAAATCCCTGCAGAAGCTACAACCTCTGTGCTGTTGGCAAAAAACATCCACATTGAGGAGACCTGGTTTAAAAACAGCCCTGGAAGTGCTCCAGGCCAGGTTGGATTGGGCTTGGAGCCTCCTGGTCTGGTGGAGCATGTCCCTGCCCATGGGATTGGAACTAGATGGTCCTTAGGGACCATCCAACCCAAACCATTCCACGATTCCATGAAACCAAACCACTTTTCTATGAGACCTCTCAACCTGACCACCCCTCCCCATCCTCCGTGCCCTCCTTCCCTCCCATCCCCGTTCCTCTAACCCCTCTCCCAGCGTATTTTTGGACTTATGAAGAGGTAGGAGATATTTTAGCAGCCCAGGAGCTGGTGAGGCCATGCCTGGAGCCCGCTGCATCCAGGACATGTCACCCATTTAAATATAATGGGACCGTGTGGGACGGTGCCCATAAAAAGCAATGTCAGGGCAGAGCATCTGATCCGCCCTGGGCAGCTGGAGAAGCTCCCTGATGACTTTTCCAGGTTGTTCCTCGTGCCACAGCCCCAGTCTGTCGCAATAGCGTCGGTCAGAGGGAGAATATCATGGGATAAATATATATTTGTATATATTTGTTCTGTGCCAAGCATGAGAGCCTTGAGGGGGGACGTGCAGGGACCGGGCGGGATTGGAGGATCACGTCCCTCTCCAGCATCTCAGCGAGGGATGCTCCACATAAATGCAAATATTCCCGCTTCTCCCTCGCTCCTGGAGTTTGCCCTTTGCTCAGGGATAAAAGTTTTTCCCTGGGCACCCCCCAGTCCAGCACATCAGCACCCTCTGGAGCAAGCATGGCAGCGGAAAATGGGATTTTAATAGGGGATGGAGCAGCTGGGAACACCCGTGGCTTCAGCTGAACCCTGGATTTAGGTCACATCTAAAGCAAATTACACTCATAAAGTGATATTTGTGTCTTTTCTTTTTGCTAATGTGCCCCCCAGTCACTTTATATTTATATATATATATATATTTTTTTTTTTTTTAATATTTAAAGAGGTGGAAAAGCTGTTTGTTCCCTCTTGGAAGTAAAATCCATCACCAGGCTGTTCAGATATATTTTTCACCACCCATTCCTGGCTTTGACTCCCCCAAACCACCTTATAAATTATGAATATTAAATTAATATCCCCGGAGGGAGCATCACCCATTTGATACAAACCCACAGCCCAGCCCTGCTTCCCACTGGTATAATTCGATTTACTGGAATTTGGGAGACAAGAGCAAAGCTCCAGTTCCTGCTTTTCCCTTTTCTGTCACGTTCAAAACTATTCTCTCTCCTCTCCCCCGTCAGATGTTCGTTGTTGCCTCAATTTGTAACACATTTTAATAACACGAATCTTCCCATGGCCTTGGCTGATTGTTGGATGCTTTTAATCCTTCTGGGGAGGAGGGGTCAGAGCTGGGTTTGCGACCCCAAAATCGCCCCAGAGTAGCAAAAAAAAAAATTTGCCCTCCCAAAAATTAAAAAAAAATTAAGCGAAAGATTAAAAAAAAATGCCCCCCAAAAAAGGGCAAATTAACAGAAAAAAAAAGCAAAAATTAACGGCAAAAGAGAAGAATGCTTAAAAAACAAACAAACAAACAAAAAACAAAAACAAAACAAACCAAAAAAAAAGGAAAAAAAAAACAACAAAAAAAAAGGCAAAAAAAAAAGGCTGCACTTAATATTTCCTATTTATTTTCTCATGGACTTTTTATTCAGCTTCTCTGTCTGCTCATTCCCTTTCCAAAGGGGGATTGGGGAAATACCACATTAATTAAGTATATTCTGGGACCATCACAGAGCCCTGGAATGGTTTGGGTGGGAAAAGCTCATCTCATTCCGCCCCCTGCCAGGGAACCTGGACCAGGGTGCTCAACGACTGCATCCATCCAAAATATCCCAACCCAAGCCCTTTCCCATCCTTTTTCCAGGTTCAGCAGCGTGTTCCCCAGCCTGAACATGGCAGTGAAGAGGCGGGAACAGACACTCCAGGATTACAAGCGCCTGCAATCCAAGGTGGAAAAATACGAGGAGAAGGAGAGGACCGGCCCCGTCCTGGCCAAGCTGCACCAGGTACTCACCCAGCATTCCCAGGAAAACTTGGGGAAGAGCTTTTCCCTTGGCATCTGGCCACCCATGCAACATATGAACAGTTTGGAAGAGCGTTTTTACCAGTGGAAAAAAAAAAATCCCCGGTTTGATAATGCGGATTTTAAAGCGCTCTTGGCGAAAGGGAAGGAGCTGCTTTTCCCGGATAAAAAGGGAATGTTTTCCAACACAAAACGGGATCAAAGCCCCCCAGGAGCTGGGGGATGCTCGGGGTCGAGGCACAGGGGGGGTTTTCCCCCCCCCGACCTCCCTGTCTGAGGGAGCAGCTGGATGGGAAAAGGGACAGATCAGAGCATTCCCCCAGTTTTATGTTTTCCACCTGTTCTGAAAATTTGTCTTGGAAAAAATCGACGGTAATTGGTTAACGGGAAGTTGTGCCAGGTTTTTTTTTTTCCCCTCTCTCCCAAATTTTAGCAGAATCACGATTTTAGGGGTTTGGGTTTGTTTCTTTTTTGTTTTTTTAATTAAATCTTCCCCGGCGTTTCTCCACCAAATCTGTGGCTCCGACAGCACGTGGCTTGATCCTCGGAGGAACAATTGATTCCCAGCATCAGAGAAAATATGTTTTTCTGATGAGTTTCCCCCCCAAAAAAATGAAGTTTTGTGTTAAAGAACAGCCTGAACAAAAGACACCTCTGATTTAACAGTAAGCAGCTTATTTTGCTCAGCCTCGGCGACTAAAGCCGGGGCTGGAAAAACGGGAATGCTTTTGTCCTGGTGATTAAGCAGGTTTTAGTTATTTCATGTATTTTTTCCCCTTAATGAACTTCTGATCTAATTCTACTCCCCCCCTCAAAAAAAAAAACAATACAACTTCACTAAACACTGCATGAGCTTGAACACCTGTGGGAGGGAGCCTTAAGCATTCCCAAATCCGGGGTATCCAAGAGGCCCAGATTTGATGGGAAATGGCCTCGTCTCATCCAAGTGTTTAAATATTGAGCTGCAGGTTTAATCAGGTATTTACTCCCAGTTCTCTGCTCTCCATGAGCTCCATCCCTGGATGGAGTTCCAGTGTTAGTGGGGAATGATGAATTTGCCTCTTGGGCTGGGATGATTTGAGGCTCTGCCAGCCCGGAGCTCTGTCCATTCCATCCCTCTGGCATTCTGTCCCTGTCCCTGGGAGCGGGGCCGGCGCCGTGGCCGGGCTCGGATCCCCTGCACCCCCCTCCCTCTGGAATGGCACCGGGATTAAGTGGCAGACTTGAACCAGTCTAATATTTCACAGCCCACCCCCTCCTGCCCTTTTCCACACCATCCCTGAGACATTTCCCTTTCTCCCCACGCTTCTGTTGGAAGGAGCCAGTTGGACAGACTGAGCTGAAGGTCACGGGCAAAAGGGGTGGTGGGGGCAGGATCCTGGGGAGATGGTCCTGGGAATTGCAGGGAGAGGGGTCATGGACATGGCCAGGGACGTTCTCCAGCCTGACTGAGCTTTAGGGATGGTTTTTGTCCATGTTTTTCCAAAGGAGGGAAGACCAGCTGGCTCAGAGCCTCTCTGGGTGTCCCGTGGCTCTGCAGGGTCAGAGCTTGGTTCCCACCAAGCTCCAGTGGATAGTCACTTGATCCCACCAGGTTCCATTAACCGGTCACTTTATCCCACCAAGTTCCATTGGATGGTCACCTGAGTCCCACCAGGTTCTGTTATTCCATTAACTGGTCACTTGGTCCCACCAGGCTCCACTGGATGGTCACTTGGGTCCCACCAGGTTCTGTTATTCCATTAACTGGTCACTTGGGTCCCACCAGGTTCTATTATTCCATTAACTGGTCACTTGGTCCCACCAGGCTCCATTGGATGGTCACTTGGGTCCCACCAGGCTGTGTTGGATTGTCCCACAGCTTCCCAGCAGGTCCCATTAGCTGATCACTAGGTTCCCTTGGACAATCCCATGGGTCCCACCAGGCTCCCCCTGCTTGTGCTCAGGTCAAAGCAGAGCATTCCTCTGTCCCAGGGTGGCCTCTTTGAAGGCATTCCCAAAGGAAGAGCGTTTTCCCAGGTGTCTGACTCACAGCCTCTCCTCTCCCAGGCCCGGGAGGAGCTGCGCCCGGTGAAGGAGGACTTTGAAGCCAAAAACAAGCAGCTCCTGGAGGAAATGCCCAAATTTTACAGCAGCCGCATCGATTACTTCAAACCCAGCTTTGAGTCTCTGGTCCGGGCACAGGTGAGAGGCTGTTCCTGCCTGTTGGGCACTGCCAGGGGGGAATCCTTCGGTGGGAATCCTCCTGCAGAGCGCCTGGGTGGGGATTCCAGTGGGAGCGAGGTGCTTTCTCGTAGCAGTGCCTCCAGGAATTCCATCAGCCCGCTGGGAGGGCATGGGGAGCAGTAGGATGGCTGGTGGGAGTTCAGATGGACCTTGGCCCAGCACAAGTGGTGCAGTGCTGGATAGAAAGGACAGCTGAGGGCAATTTTATATGGATCTGGGACACTCCTGGATCATGTCCTGTCCCGCAGTTCCAGCCCTGGCTGTACATAATCCACTGGGATTTGATGGCTCTATCCACCTGGGCACGTCATCTCCTTGGATTTGGAGTCCTGAGCTCTGGGTTGGATCTTGTTGGAGGTGTTGAGATGCTCAGGGCTCATCTTGAGGGTCTCTTGTGGCTTCTGGTGAGCAGAGAGGAGGCTCCTGGGACATCTCCACGCCAAGGATTTGCAGGAAAGGGATGGCCTAAATAACCCACGACTTCCACTTCCATCCTCCAGGCCTCCTTCGGGGACTTGCTGCTGCTCCTCCTCCTCCTTCCTTCTCCCTTTACCCTTTTCCTCAGGCTGGAGAGGGACAGGGTTGGGATCTAATCAACCTTTGAACCTCCAGCACCTCATGCCCTGGGTCACGGGGCGATCCCGCCCTGGGGGGGGGAGGACAAAACCTCGCTCTGCTCCCTCCGTGGGCGTTTCCCGGTGGTATTTTTGGGAAGGGAGCTGCTGCAGGGACACAGGTGCCGGGCGGGGGGGGGCTGCAGGGAGGTGCTGGGAGCACGTGTTCCATCTCACCTCCGACTCTGGGGGGGGCCTCTGCGCGGAGCTGCCAGCGAGTTGTCTGCAGGCTGATTCACCTACCAGATGGTGCCGATGCTCCCTGCGCCGCAGGGTGGGTGCTGGGGATGCTGTTCCTGCTGTTCCCTCAGCGATGGGCCCCAGGGCTCCCTGTTCCAGCCCGGCACAGCCGGAATAACCACAATTCCCAGAGCCACCGCAGGGTCTCGCTGGCCCTTTCCCCCTGCAGACCCTCACCCGCATGGATGAGACCTGGAAACCTGAAGGTTCTCTGCCATCTCCGGGTGTTTGCCATCCATGAGTTTCCTTGGAAAGCAGGTTTGCCCCTCTGGCTTTGACCATGATGTCCCTCACTCCGTTTGCATCCCGATTCCCGGGGAGTTTGGGGCGAGGGCACGTTGGGATGGATGTGCTCGGAGCACCCAGGGATGCGAGCAGGGAGCAGCAGGATGTCCTTGCTGGGGCTGTTTGTAAGACTCTCCATTCATATCCCTCTTCTTCCTTGGGAATCCTCTGTTTTCTCTCCCAGCCTGCTCCATCTTCAGGTGAGGAGTTTCTCAGGAGAGCCGAGTGAAATCCCGTTTTTAATCCCCAAAAAAAAGGCAGCGTCATAACAAAGCTGATGCATCTCCCGTAGGCTGGACTAGAGCTGGTCCCAGATGGATGCAGCTCCCATCCCTCCCTCCCTCCCTTCCAGCCTCCATGGGAGCTGCATCCCTCTCCTCCAGCACTGGCTGCACCCTTCCACCCCCGGGGAGGGAATGCCTGGAGGAGAGCTCGGAATGTTTGTGCCGGGGCCGGGGCCGGGCTCAGGCTGCGTGTCCCCCTCTGCCGCTTCAGGAGCTCTGGGAAGAGTTTTCCCATCGAAGGGGCTTAAATATTAAGGAGAAGGGAAATGACTTGCCCGAGGTAATGAGTCAGTGGCGAGCCAGGAATAGCACCCAGAGCCCTGACTCACCTGGGGAGCTGCTCACCCACGGGCAACTGCCTGGGAAGGGCATCCCGGGGGCTGCCGGGGGGCTGCCGGGAGCATCCCCATTCCCCGTGGGAATATTTCCCAGCCAGCCCCGCTCATCCCAGGTTTCTTTCCCTCCCTGCCTCCTTGAGCTGACTTAGCACCTCAGGGGGAGGGCGTGTTCCTCAATGGAATTTCTATTTGATGGAATTTCTATTTTCAGCCTTTTCTCCGGGTACCTTTCTAGGAGCGATGGTTGGGATGGGGCTGGAGGTGCGTCCCTGAGGGAAAGGGATGGATGGAGGCAGGCTGGGATCAGCTGCCACCGTGCTGGTGGCCACGACCTTGGGGCTGCTTGTCCCTGGGTCAAACCCACCATCCAAAGGCAAAACTAGGCAGTTTTTCCTTATTTTTTTGGCCCTGGAGAAATCGGAGGGTTACAGTGAGACAAGAGTGTGACGGTGACACCAGGAAGGGCTGGGAAGGGACCAGCTGCTTCTCCATGCCAGGCAAAGTACCCTGCTCCAAACCAGCCCCATGGCTCTGACCCAAGGAGACCCTCCAGAGCCTCCTCTCCGGGCGGGCGAGTTCCCATGGCACAGCCTGGCCGCGTTCCCGGTGTCTCCTGACGCCGGGACATGTCCCGAGCTCGCAGGGCTGTAACATTCAACTCCAAATTCTTCCCTCCACCCACGTGCCCGGGCCAAGCCAAGGGAGGCAAATGTTTCCCTGGCTTGGGGGCTTTGAAGTGGCCACACGGAGATGAAAGGGGGGGATTTTGGAGCTGGTGCGAGGCGTGAACAAACTTCCTTCCCGCTTCGTGCTTTGTTTTCCAGCTAGAAAACGTGATATTCCTTTGGTTTTTAAGGAAACGGGGGGTGGAAAAGATGGGGCTGGCAGGTTGGGGGGTTGCTGTGGGATGGGGGAGCCCGGCCCTGGCAGTGACCCCGGGTTTGTTTTGGGTAGGGCTGACCCAAACAACGCCGGCCATTCCCGGCCAGGCTGTTGTGAGCGGGATCTATAGAAAATCCGCGGAACACCGTGTCCCCAAACAGAATTAGTTCAAGACAGGTGGACTCGGGGCCGTTGGCTCGGGCTCAAAGGCGAGTTGGAGATGGGATTTGATGGGATGGGGATGGAGCATATGGTATCCATAGCTGGAAAAGTACTGGGCTGGCGGGAGCAGGTAGGGCAGGGGAAGCTGCCTGTGGAGCCACAGGGTCCCCCCCCATCACTGTCACGAGTGTGGGGTGCAGCCCCTCCCTGGGACCCCCCAGGGAGGCAGGGATGGTTTCCACTCATATTCCAAGGGGAGCAAAGCACGGGGGGATCGGTGCCAGTGGGATTCTGTTGGTGCAGCTCGGGAGACTCAGCTGGTCGTGCCCCTGCTGGTTTGGCACAGGGGCCTGCTGGGGGAGAGGAGCGTCCCCGAGGACACCCCCCAGGCCCTGGGGACACGGTGTGTCCCACGGGAAGGGCTCGGTGGCTGCGGGGTGTGGGCGGTGGGGGGGAGCAGCACCAAAGAGTTTGGACTGAGGGCAATCCTGGGGGACAATCCTGGGAGCAATTGTGGGGGAAATTCTGGAGGGGCCAGCCCTGGGGGACAATCCTGGGGTCAATTGTAGGGGAAATTCTG